GATAACATTACTACAAAAGCTACGTTGCTTGATTTAATAATGTTAAAACTCAGCAGTGTTCCGATGTCTATCCTCAATTTAAGAGTGTGGGAAAAGGGTAAACTTGCCAATAAATAGAAGACAACCTTCTGTAGTGTAATGAAATAAAAAGATAAGTATAAGAAAACGCCTATTATTTTTAAGCTATTTTTTTTTATTACTATTTTTAAGCTTGGTATAAAAGGGAAGATCAATAAAGTCATCTTCAAAAGAATGACATAGAAAATTGGAAAAAAAAAAATAAAAGTCTCCCGGAACAGGATCTCCATCCTGACTGGGACCGCTTTCGCGGTACAATGCTCTACCCACTGAGCTGCGGGGAACTTGCCATTAAAGGAGAGCAAATTTTAAGATTATATGTAACAAGTACAGTATGTATCGCAAGGAACAAATGGGCAAAGATTCTGAGTAAATGTGTTTTGACTCTAATATAACATAACAGCTAAAAACTATGTTGCTTGATGTAGTAATGTTAAAACTAAGCAGTGTTGCATGTCCTTAATTTTAGGAGCCGGAAAGGGTCAACTCGGTATGGAGTGCGGTATGGAGTGGAAAAACTTTTTTCGCTTATTTATAAAATTGAACGATCAGTATAGGAAGAAATTTAAGTCTTTTTCGCGACTTGGCATAAAAAAATAATTAATAAAAACAAAAATGGAAAGAAATGAAGAAAAGGATAAGTTTTCCTGGCTAGAATTTGAACCCTAACTGGGAGCGGTATTGCGGTACAACGTTCTACCCAATGAGCAGCGGGATACGCGTCAGAAACTCGGGGTACATTTGAAATCTATATAAAAAAGCGAGCTACGATTAAACTAAAGTACTCTGGTTATCAACTGACCATTGGTTAAAACTTTTTTCGGATCCAGTTACAAAGCTTAGTCCTGGTGTCATCTTTCCTCGACAATAGATGAACTTAAGCTACGGCTGATGAAAAAATGACATCGACAAAACGACCTCCTACAAAATCCTTAGCTTCTGTATTCCAGATTTTTCATCTGGTGTTAACAATTCTATCGATAGCAGTTCTTTCGTACAAGGTTTTTCGCCTTGAGAGTGAATTGTCGTTTATTCGGGAAGAGCTGTCGACTTCTGATCGCAATGGTGACAAGAAAACAAATCTTCCGCTTTTTACAACCGCGAGAAGCGAGATTGCGGAGAGCAGGAGTGATCGATACCGGCGGCAAATTAGCAAATCTGAAATGTATGGAGTAAGGCAGAAGATAGAGAACGCTGTTTGTATTCGAAAAGCCCTGCAGGATTTTCAGGTAAATATAATAAAGATGAGTCCTACGCATGTCATCAGCCAAAGGACACACTATACCATTAACAAAGCTTAAGCATTTATCACGACTCGAAGAAATCAAATGGAAATTTAAACAAATAGATGAAGGGTTTGCGCCAGTCTCTCACGGGCGTTAAAAATCATAGTTGCCAGCTTTCGTCGTCTTTAAGGTACATGAACCGCACTGCTTTTAGGAAATGAAGCCTAAAAGTTATCAGGTTTCTCCTGCAGTAATTAATGTCTCGCTTGAGCCAATGGAACGCGGAGGACCCCGAACTAACCTAGTAAATCTGTGTGTGTAAGGAAAGTTGTTCATGAAAATAAATGGCAAATAGCCACTAAATGTATTGCGTACTTTTCTCCATGCTACGTGTTTTGGCCTAATTCCACATTCTTTTATTGCTGAAGGTCAAGCACGCAGTAAATGGAACTGGGAAGTTTATCTGCCTGAAAGGTCAGTACAGATCAGTTTCACTTCCGATTTGACGCTAAGCGAAACTTATAACTGATAACATGGCCAAACTTCGTTGTTGATTCACCATGAATTTACAGTCCACCCCTCTTTCTTTGCCAATCATATTAGTCTTCATCCCTTAACCCTCTAACTCTCATGGGTGACCAAGACAGAATTTCTCCTTACATTATTAATATAATATCAAGCAGACAAGTGACGAGATTTAAGGAAAATATCAATTAAGAGTTATAAGTTGATCCAATACCAAATTCGCCAAACTAACATCACAAGAACCGTATAGCAGACAGTGAGGAGAATTGCTAATGAGATCTTGGGAGTGAAAGGGTCGATGATGAAGCTTTCCTGCAGAGTAGGGTCATTAGAAACCGAATTACTCACTGGTAGTTGTTTTTACAGAAATTGCACTTTTTCCTCTTGTTTGTTGTTTTTGTGAAAACTTATCAGAAAAAAAAGTAGGCAAGGTCAGTGTACCACGATTTTGTCAGGAACCGGTCATTATTTATTGCTTGGGGAAGAGGATGGGGGGGGGGGGGGGGGGG